AGAATGGAGAGGTCTGATCTTCTTGCAGTCCATGGGACTCTCAAGAGTCTCCTCCAGCACCAGAATTCAAAAGCATCCATTCTTCGGCGATCAGCCTTCTTTATGGTCCAGCTCTCACTTCCATACATCACTACTGGGAAAACCATAGCTTTAACTATACGATCTACCTGTATTGAAATAATAAATAATTTTGATCAAGCTAGAAAAGCAAAAGGACTTTCGACTTTGTGCGCTCATTTACCAAAGGCACGCCGTGCCAGTGGTGGCACTTTCATTCACACAAAAAAATAAAAATTGCCCTTCTCCCCGGTGTCCGCACTCCCCTCCCCTTTTTCCTTTTTAACTGGATTCTGCGTGAGCTGGAGGCAAACAAACTGAAAGCATTAAGCAGGAGCTGCTGGCTTTGGAGATGCCTGCTGGCAACTGGCTGGCAGGAGGCTGCTGGGTGACTTGGGCTCTCCAGGATCGCCCCCTTTCTGCCCAACCTCTGCCCTGCTGCTCTCAGTGGACCTGCTCCCAACTTGGCGCCTTGCCCCCGACCAACCTGCTGGCTGGCCGAGGGGGGTGCCCAGATCCGGTTCGCCAGCCTCCGCCAGGCCTACCAAACATAGCGCCCTTCCTGGAGCCTGGCCACCCCCTTGAGCTCTGCACACCCCTCTCAGGCACCTGCCGGCTCGGATCGACATGCCGCCACGCCGGACCTGCCTGCAGCTCGGCATGGATGGGGAGGCTCAGAGGGGAGCCCTAGCCACACTGCTGCTGCTGCTGCCTGCTGGCTGGTCCTGGGTGCCGGAGCCTCACCGACGCCTCCTGGAGCCTGCCCACAGCAGGACACTTTTGTTTCTTTTTCCTCCCTTCTTTCGTAAATGAGAGATAAGGCATAAGGTAAAGGGACCCTTGACCATTAGGTCCAGTCGTGGCCGACTCTGGGGTTGCGGCGCTCATCTCGCTTTATTGGCCAAGGGAGCCGGCGTACAGCTTCCGGGTCACGTGGCCAGCATGACTAAGCCGCTTCTGGCAAACCAGAGCAGCGCACGGAAACGCCGTTTACCTTCCCGCCAGAGCGGTACCTATTGATCTACTTGCACTTTGATGTGCTTTCGAACTGCTAGGTTGGCAGGAGCAGGGGGGAGCTAACCCCATCGCGGGGATTCATACCGCCGACCTTCTGATCGGCAAGTTCTAGGCTCTGTGGTTTAACCCACAGCGCCACCCGCGTCCCCTGCCATAAGCATAATAGAAGTTAATTTGGGGGCTAAACTAAATTTGCGGGCGCTGGGCGGATCTTTTCAGCCCAGTGGTGCGTATGCTAAAGACGGCCCTGACTCTAGTTTTAAGCAGGGGACAGAAGCTTTCAGTCTCATTCCATGCTTGAAAGAGGACGAGAGGTGAAAGATGTTCTTGCTCTAGTTCATAATTTAGCATTGCATCTGATTCAGACCTATAAATGTATAGGACCAGCCTGTGCCCTAGCACTGATAAGTGTTTTCATTAACCAAGTAATAGTATGTTTTTGAATATACTGTCAGCTGCATAGAAGTATCTTAGAAGTATCTTAGAGAGTCATACTAACTGGCGTGCACACACAGAGTATAACGCATTGTTCCTTTCTTTTTACCGCGGCTAGCTTGATTTTTTGAGAATATTCTAAATAAACTTCCGTTCCTCGTTGTTTCCCACATTTAACATCGAAATCTATTTCTTAAGTATTTAAAGATGATTGCAGTGTAGTTTGGAAGTTATCCTAGCTTTATAAATACTTACTTTTAATGTATAACTGTAAAGTCAGTCCATTACATTAGAGATGAAGAATGTCCACTTACCCTAAAAAGAGTTCCCACTCAAAAACAAAACAGCTTTAAAAAAATTATGTAAAAGGATGGTTTCGAGCCAGAATTTGACATGTTTTCTGTGAGTAATATGCAGCCATCCCTAAATGAGGAAAGGCTGCGGTGGATAAATAAGAGCTGCTGGAGTCATGTTATTGGCACAATCATTGACTTAAAATTAATTGATGGTGCTATATCTTTATTATGCTGAAAGGGCTGTGTAAGGATAATATCCATCTGGAGAGCTAGCATCTGATTTTCCCCCTGCCTGCAAATATGTTCAGATCAGGGAAAGTAATTTATTTAGATCCTTAAAAGCATGCAAGAAGTGTTTGTATTTGGAAACAGGACCTTGACTGATTAATCTGCTTTTTAGATGGTTTCGGTTCAGCTTTCTACAGATAGAATACTTGTGACTTTTTCAAGGAGGTTTTTAGGGGGGTGCTAGTTATTTTTCATTGTGCCGTAGCTTGTCTAAATCTGTTTATATTATAGCTCATCTAAGCTTAGTTTCTCTTAGCCCTTCCTTCCCTTTGAACATATCTGGCTCTACTACAGTGGTACCTCGGGTTAAGTACTTAATTCGTTCCGGAGGTCCGTTCTTAACCTGAAACTGTTCTTAACCTGAAGCACCACTTTAGCTAATGGGGCCTCCTGCTGCTGCTGTGCCGCCGGAGCACGATTTCTGTTCTCATCCTGAAGCAAAGTTCTTAACCTGAAGCACTATTTCTGGGTTAGCGGAGTCTGTACCTGAAGCATATGTAACCTGAAGTGTATGTAACCTGGGGTACCACTGTATTGAGGCAGAAATCCTACTTTCTCCTCCCCCCCCCTGTGAGGGAGAGAACACTGTTGGAGTCTAGGGAGAGCACTGGGCTTCAGCCTGGAGTGACCCAACAGGATTCAGAGGGGGAGTTGGAAGGGGTGGAGGAAGCGGGGTACAGTGGGGGCGGGCCACCCTGGGTGTCACCACTGAGGGGGGTGACAAAATGCCTGGCTGCACTCACCGTGGGACCTGCAGCGCGGCCAAGCCACGCGTCTCTCCTGGGAGAGACGTGGTTGCTTGGGCGCACGCAGGCTCCGCGCTGCTTAAATGGTCCGCTCGCTGCCTTCCCCCCCCCCAGCTGTAGGGCGGCTGAGTGGGAGGAGGCAGGCAGACTCCTCGGAGGCCCTACGGAGCGTCCTGCCCCAGCTCGGCCCACCCCTGTGGGTGGCTGGCCCCGCCCCTTGGCGCAGGGCACACGCGCCGCCCCAGACGCCCGATCCACTTGCTCCGCCGCTGGGAATTGGGTCCAGCACGCTCTGCCCGTGCAAGGCAGCACTTCCAGAGAAGGGATGAGACATATCCACCTAGACATAGAGCCAGTGTGGTGTAGTGGTTAAGAGTGGTAGACTCGTAATCTGCTGAACTGGGTTCGCCTCTCCGCTCCTCTACATGCAGCTGCTGGGTGACCTTGGGCTAGTCACACTTCTCTCTGAAGTCTCTCAGCCCCACTCACCTCACAAGAGTGTCTGTTGTGGGGCAGGAAGGGAAAGGAGAATGTTAGCTGCTTTGAGACTCCTTTGGGTAGTGATAAAGCGGGATATCAAATCCAAACTCCACATAGCATCTGTTAGCAGTCTATATATTTCTGCAGAAAGAGCGAGTTTCTTACGAGTAAGGGTTGCATCCATTCTTCCTTGGCTTTAAACTTGTTGGGTGCAAACTTTTTAGAAAAACCTCTCCTCTCCACCGCAGTCTTGAACTCCTCGTTGCTGATCTTTGAGTCATGGCCCTTGGCCCTAGACCGGGGTCTTCCCCACCAGCCCTTTGCTTGTGAGAGCTCTTGGGCTGAATTAGCTGCTTTCATGCTGCTGAATCGGTACTGTTACTCTTCTTTAAAAGGTTGATCACTTCCATTCTTTCCAATAAGAGCACATGCTGTTGAGTTTTGGGACAGGAACTGAGACACTCAGGCCTCCCTGAACCAACTATGTTTTATAAACAATTAAGAATAACTTGAAAAACATGCCTCGTTTGGCAGGGTCTCCATTTATATTAAATTATAATAATATCATAACCTGAAAGCCAAATGGGTGTGGAGTGAGCCTCTTAGCATCCAATAGTTTTCCCCACTGAGAAAGAAAAATAATGTTGTAAATAGTGGTGACTAGTTCATTCATGCAATCCTTTGAATGAACATACATGAATTAGTTGTGATGTAAGCTAGGAAGCTTGGGTAATCAAGGCATGTTTTTCGAGTTATTGTTAATTGTTTTAAAAATAGGGACGCGGGTAGTGCTGTGGGACCACAGAGCCTAGGACTTGCCAATCAGAAGGTCGGCGGTTCAAATCCCTGCGACGGGGTGAGATCCCGTTGCTCAGTCCCTGCTCCTGCCAACCTAGCAGTTCGAAAGCACGTCAAAGTGCAAGCAGATAAATAGGTACCACTCCAGCAGGAAGGTAAACGGCGTTTCCGTGCGCTGCTCTGGTTCGCCAGAAGCGGCTTAGTCATGCTGGGCACATGACCCGGAAGCTGTACGCCGGCTCCCTCAGCCAATAAAGCGAGATGAGCGCCACAACCCCAGAGTCGGCCACGATTGGACCTAATGGTCAGGGGTCCCTTTACCTTTTTAAGCTAGGAAGCTTGGGTAAGAGAACTATGAACAATTAGCGCTTCTCTCGATTTAAGTGTTCTGCCCAGAGACAGTGGGCTTATTGGGTAAGTTAATGTGGGGCATAATGGTGGGTCTGCGTCAACATACAAGTCAGCTGTGAGCTTCAAGCATCTGGATGGTGTGTAGGCTTCAAAATGGGAAGTTTAGCAATCATGCGTATCAAATATGTATGGATAAGAACTTGTGTCAGGATCAGTCAAGTGCAGACAATCCTCTTGCACACTGAACATTGTATGCTTCCCAAATCTGTGAAAAAGACCTGTGTGTATCTTTTTGTAGATTATAATGTGATGAATTTGTATACTCCTTTGGCGTTTCTATAACATAAATGGTACAGACCTTCCGTTGGCTTCTAGGAAATATTTTTTATACATGTTTTGGGCACTAAAAAGAGGACCTTAACAAGTTTAGCTAAGAAAGGATTAAGCGCTGGTGGAAAACTGTGTATCTGTTAAATAAATGATTCATGACAATATCTGTTAACTGTTTCTCTTTTCCCTCCATTTTCTTCAGTGCCAGATGAAAGCAATGTTTGCTTGTTGACTGAACATAAACTAGGTAAGAGATTCTTGGTTTGACTTGACTATGCTGCACAGAGTTCTTGTCTAGTTCACACAAACAATATTTGCTTTAAATGCTGCTCTATGCACGCCCAGGGAAAGTATTTGAAATGTCTTGCATTAGTTCTGAGTTTTGGATCTTCTCCCTTCATATATTGTGGAATGCCTCTGGGACACCCTACTTGTGCTGTCTTGATTATGAGATCACACCAAATAGAAATGTAGAGTTGTGTGGGGTTTTTTAAAGTGTGTCTTCTTGTTCACTGATGGGAACTGCAAGTTCTTTCAGGAGATCTTGGAATGTGAATTGAATGAAAACTTCTTACTTCATAATTTGAGTTGGCCTGAATGCACTTGTTTATGTGAATCCATGGATCATGCAGAGAAAAATATTAAAGTCCATATTTTTTCCTCAACTCCCCTTACTTTTCTGTTCCAAAGTATTTAGTATCTATTGGATTCAAACTGGTCCTGCAACATGGGGTCTGGGAGGGACAATAAATATATCCCTTCTTCATACCGGAATCATTCCCACGGTGAGAGTTACTCTTGATTGCATCAGGCAAGAAGCTCACAAGCTAAGAATCATTTTTTAAGTTCTCCCATGCAAGTTTAGAAAATTACGGTACTTAACTTCCTCAAACAGAATGTCAGAGAGAAATATTTTGGTACCTTTTTTACTTATTTTCAGAAGCTATGTCCTGCTTGAAAAGGGTATGGGACACTTAGTCATTTTGAAAAAGATTTTGCAAGCGTTAGAAAAATAGTGTTATCACATTCATATGCCCTAAAAATGATTCTCTCTCTCCCTCCCCCCCAAATTAAAGTATATACAAATAGTGAATAATTCTAGGAAATACATGACATTTCTATTCAGCCTTTATGAGATTTAGGCTGCTCATATTTCCTCAGCCAATACCCCTTTACTGTTTCTTGTCTTCCACCCTTCCCCACCTCCACCAATCCTTTCCTTCACCTGCATACTAAAGAGGTTTTCTTATTTATTTGAAACTGAGGTTCTCTCTCCGCTGGTACCTTCTGTTTTCCTTGCACCTGAAATTTCTGTTTTCTCTTCATTGAGGAGAAGACAAGAAAGTTTCCAAGAAGTGACTCATCATTTGGAAAGGTGTGCCCTGTTATTACACAGAAGGAGGCTTGCAAATATTGCAGCTGCCTTAAGTTTGCCAACGATAAATGCAAGCCCTTCCTGTCAGTCCACATTGGAACAAATCCCACTGCAGACATAAAAGTTGGCAAAGAGTTGCTCAGAAAATCAGGAATCTACCATTTCAAGCTCCAAGTGTGGGTGGTTGGTTTTTTCCCTATCCATAAGTGTCAAGAGCAAATTAGAAAGACAACAACCCTGGGTTTCTGAAAAACAGCCATCAGATTACAGCTGGTCTTCTTGGACCAGCTGTGGGTTTTATAATGTTTTGTGATGGGCCTTCTATCTCCTCTTTATTTATTTATCCATACATGCACAGCTCTGGGGTGCTGCTGTTCATGCTTGTTGTTGTGCATAATCTCACTAAAACTATTGATGGGGTTGACAGCCCTCGGTTCCAAACATATCCACATTTTTATGATAAAATTCTTACTGTCTCTACCAGTTTCTCCTGGCATGTAGTATGGCATGCTCAAGGCTGTCCACGAAAATTTGGCCCTTACACCCGTGAGAAAATATAACAACTTGACATAACCCAGAATTGCTGGTCACACTTTTTTTTGGGGGGGGGTACATTTATAGATGCGAGTGGCGCTGTGGGTTAAAACCTCAGCACCTAGGACTTGCCGATCGAAAGGTCGGCGGTTCGAATCCCCACGGCGGGGTGCGCTCCCGTTGCTCGGTCCCAGCGCCTGCCAACCTAGCAGTTCGAAAGCACCCCCGGGTGCAAGTAGATAAATAGGGACCGCTTACTAGCGGGAAGGTAAACGGCGTTCCGTGTGCTGCGCTGGCTTGCCAGATGCAGCTTGTCATGCTGACCACGTGACCCGGAAGTGTCTGCGGACAGCGCTGGCCCCCGGCCTCTTGAGTGAGATGGGCGCACAACCCTAGAGTCTGTCAAGACTGGCCCGTATGGGCAGGGGTACCTTTACCTTTACCTTACATTTATAGAAATGGAAAGCAAATGTATTCCTTTTAAGAACCATATGGATTACCAGACACCTCCCAGTGGCAGTATTTACAACTGAAACATGTATTAGTTTCTAAATGTAATCCACAGTGCTTTTAAATTGTGCCCTCCCCAATATATTACAGAACCTACTTTACTTACCCATACTACCCAAACGGATACAATAGCCCAGGGTTTCCCAGACTTGGGTCTTTAGCTGTTTTTGGACTCTCCCACTGGTCCTGTCAGCTAGGTATGATGAGACGTAGTCCAGAAACTGCTGGAGACCCTACTTTTGGAAACTGCTATAGCCAATAGATCTATAGCCAATGGAAAGCTGTGCTCTCTTCGCTTAAAGCCTCTGCCCTGTATTTGAGATTGCACTCCATAGAACAGAGATTATTTTGGGGGGGAGGGGGAGAATGCATTCCTCCTCCAGCTGCTGGCAATGCACTGTTGCAGATGGGTACATACATAGTGTGGTACTGCCATGTTGTTGTTTTTCTTTTGGGCAGCTACCACTGTCTGCATTCCCTTGTTCCTGGAAACACAACAAAAATTTACAGGCAGTGACTTAGGCATGCCCTATTGGTTGCCAAACGTGTCATTTTTTTCAGCATTAGAAAAGTAAACACCATCTTGACAACCCATTAGTGTAGACTCGGCAGGTCCTTACTCAGTATGCGTGAACTAGCTGTATATTGTGGATTGCAGATTTTAGCTTTGTTGTTGTTGTTTAGTCGGTTAGTCGTGCCTGATTCTTCATGACCCCATGGACCAGAGCACGCCAGGCACTCCTGTCTTCCACTGCCTCCCGCAGTTTGGTCAGACTCATGTTTGTAGCTTCGAGAACACTGTCCAACCATCTCGCCTTCTGTCGTCCCCTTCTCCTTGTGCCCTCAATCTTTCCCAACATCAGGGTCTTTTCCAGGGAGTCTTCTCTTCTCATGAGGTAGCCAAAGTATTGGAGCCTCAGCTTCAGATCTGTCCTTCCAGTGAGCACTCAGGGCTGATTTCCTTCAGAATGGATTGGTTTGATCTTCTTGCAGTCCATGGGACTCTCAAGAGTCTCCTCCAGCACCATAATTCAAAAGCATCAATTCTTCGGCGATCAGCCTTCTTTATGGTCCATCTCTAACTTCCGTACATCACTACTGGGGAAACCATAGCTTTAACTATACATATCTTTGTCGGCAAGGTGATGTGTCTGCTTTTTAGCTTACCACCCTATATGTCATACCTATATGGCCAAATCTTTGAGTGCTGACCTACTCCTCCCCCCCCTTTTCCCCTTCCATCCTGAGGTTATTTTAATTTGCATTGGCACTGTTGTTGTGTTGATATTAACAAGAAGACCCAATAGTCAATATTAATTTAAGTTTTAACCAACAAACAGCACAAATACAGTTCTTGCCTGGAGGCCTAAGATGACACAAAAGGAAAAAAAGGGGTGAGAAAGAACAGGCAAACATGTCAACTTAGGCACCAGTTCTTACCATTCATGAAGATCTCAGAAAGACTAGGTTGAGTGGAGGAGAGTGGAATGGCACAGCACTCTCATCTTCCCCAAAGCAACTGCCGGGTGCAAATAATTCCTAATAATATTTACTAGACGCTTTCATCCGGCTAGACAGTTTACTATTGAACCCACAGTGAACTGGAAGTAGTGAGTCTTAAATGAGGGGGGCAACCCGTAGAAGAGACCTGGAGGTGAATATTTTCCCCTGTCCAATCTGCAACATTTCTAGACAATACTTTCAAGGGTGTGGGAGGCAAAGTGGGAAAGTAATAAGCCCTTTGGGGTATGTGGTGTAATGTTGGGATGGTGGCAAGGTTACTGAGCCACAATTGCTGCAAAATACCATATTCCAACAAGCTGCTTTTACATGAGTGGTTAGTGCTCTAGTGTATTTGCCACAAAAACTCACGAGATGCCTCTCTTAATTTGAGCTGTTATAAATGTGCAACTAACTGTTGTGTGTTATAGTACTTATAATGGAATTGGTAAGAAGGATTTATGTACAGGTTATTGTTTATGTTGGGCAAATGCTGCCCTTTCCCCTCGTTTATGCAAAGTCACAAATGGTATTCCATTAGCCTCACAGCTATTTGCTTTATTTTCATTTTTCATATGGCTCCCTCTTTCTTTCTTTTCTTTTCCTTTTTCCTTTTGATTTAATGCTTGCGACTCTCTTAATATGTATTGACTGTCTGCTGAGGTCTCTGCTGACACAGCTCTTTAAAATGATACAGTACTGGAGAAAAGCTGATGAGTCCTCCTTTACGAGCTTTGACATATTAATTAGCAAAGTGGACTAAAAGAAAGAAACCTTTGCTATTTTCTATTTTAATTTTCTAAAACACATGTATATTGAGATTTTGAACCAATAGCTCCCATCAAAAGGACTAATGCGTGTCGGGAAGGCTCCACGTTCCAGCAGGTTAACACAGTGATCTTTTCCACTTCCTAAGACCACACTGGTTGCCAAATTATGTTCCTTTTTTCCAGGATCTCTGTTCTTTTAGAGAGTCTGATGGTGTTATCCTGAACATTCGTTGCATGAACACCAGAAAAAGTTGAATTCTCAGGAGTGTAAAGTTGGATGTAACTCATAAACTAACCACAGTTAACTGGACAAATTGTGGTGGATGTTAACTATGATTAGCAGAAACCATACTTCCCTAAGCTGTCTTAGTGGTGGGAAGGTAAATGGTGTTTCCGTGCGCTCTGGCACTCGTCACGGTGTCCCATTGTGCCAGAAGTGGTTTAGTCCTGCTGGCCACATGACCCAGAAAGCTGTTTGTGGACAAACACTGGCTCCCTCGGCCTGAAAGCGAGATGAGCGCTGAAACCCCATAGTCACCTTTGTCTGGACCGGGGTCC